TGAAATATTAGAGAAAAAGTTATCTCGATAATAATTTGGCACGAAGTGTATACTAAAAAATTGTGTTAGACCAAAATACAGATTCTGTGATAAATATAAAAAAAATGATCATTTTGTATCAGGTTACATGGTATTTTTACTGACTGAATATAAAACCCGACATGACAGAGTAGAACAATATTTGCACAGGAAAATCTGCAACTTTTACGGAAAGAAAAATGGAAGAAATTGGTATGAACATCACCCAAGCCCGATTATGGAGATAAAAACTGTAACAATTTTATGGTACTTTAAAATACACTCAGAACAAACAAAATTAATCGCCCAGACATCGTGATTAGAGACCGCAAAGACAAAAAGTATCTTCTTATTGACATGTTAGTTCTTGCAGTCTGTAATGTAGCATTGAAGATCTTCAAAAAAACTATCAAAATACAAGGACCTTGTAATCGAAGTCTAAAAAAAAATGGGGCACATGAGAACTTCAACATTTCAAGTTGTAGCTGGAATTCTCGAAATGATTGGTAAAGATTCCAACAGACTCAGTGAAGGGATTACTCGTAGCCGGTGCATTAAAGAAATACAAAATAATTATTCTCACGCGTAGAGCCCACACCTTATGAAGGGCTTTATCTATGTAATATATTATTTTTTCCATAATTGCTCAGTGGAAAATGGCATGATTCCATTTTTGACCTAATTTCTCTAATCTGCACCCTGAAAGAAGTAAGTACACTCCAGGAATCAAAGGAAACAAAATAAAAATAATAATAACAAGAATAATAATAGCAATAATAATATAAAAAAAAATGTGGTACATGATGTCATCAGCAACTACGTTTATAGTTGGAGCCAACGGATTGATTGAAAAAGATTCCAATAGAGTCAATGAAGGAATTCCTGGTAGGCCATGGCTTAAAGAAATACAAACAAATTGTACTCACAAATACAGCCCACACAGAACGAAGGTCTTTATTTATGTGAAATATGTACGATCTTAGGGATTTCCCATCAAAAACTGCACAGTCGAAAATGCCATTTCTGACCTTAGGTCTCTGGAGAGTAATGAGTATACACTACGAATCAAAGAAAATAATAATAATAATAATAATAATAATAATAAAAAAATAATAATTATAATAATAATAATAATAATAATAATAATAATAATAATCAATTATGAAAGAAGGTTGTAAATACAAACGAGATTTACATTTAGTAGATTCTGTAGAAAACTAAAACAAAACCCAAGAACAAAAGGTTTCAACAAAATTTATGAAAAATAAAGCCAATCATAAAGGTCTTAATGAAGATGAAAGAATGCTGGCAAGACAAACATGTGCATGGCTAATAATGTGTTAATAAAGTTGATTTTGACAAAATTAACACTCGTCGATATTTACTATAATCTGGATTAAAGACTAAAATGGAAGACTTTGTTCTTGCAGCACAAAACCAGAGTCTTATCGCTAAGAACTTTCAGGCTATTATCATACATAACAGAGTGGATCTAAAATGGAGGTTATATGATAAGTATCAGGAAATCTAATTTCATGATGTTCTCTACTTGCGCAAATGTATCAGGCCATATATATATATATATATATATATATATATATATATATATATATATATATATATATATATATCAGGTCATTCCATAAGTTCTGTCCGAATTTTGAATAAAGAAAACAAGTGACCAAATGTTACATGTAATTACAGATTCAATCAACAATGTATTTTCCCCTGATTATCAAAAGTGGTCTTCAAAAGAGGGATACAGACACCTTCTAACTGGGATAAAAAGTGTAGTATGTGTTCTTCTTTTCCCTGATCTGATTCGAGCAACTAACGGTCTTATAAGGAGGAAAGCCTCGTCTCGAGGGATCCAAATGTGCGGCATCTCTGCCCTTAGTGTAAAATAGGAGATTGATATACACCAGCTCGACCAGGACATTTAAACCGACCACATATACCCATAAGTGGGTTGGGCATTGCGACGTGGTGTATTGGCTTGCAAACTAGCCTGACGAGATTAATTACGACTTAGTTCGATCCTTACTGGATGTCCTATACGTTGTCCCACAACTAAGTTACGCTAAGTATCAGGTCATTCCATAAGTTCTGTCCGAATTTTGAATAAAGAAAACAAGTGACCAAATGTTACATTTAATTAAAGATTCAATCAACAATGTATTTTCTCTGATTATCTATGATTTCCTTCCATCTAATAACAAGCTTACTAATTCCATTACTGTAAAAATTTTTGGGCTTTGATTCGAAGAACTCACAAATATCAGTTTTAACAATATATATATTTGGATGTCTGGGCGATTAACTTTGTTCCGAGTGTATTTTAAAGTACCATAAAATTGTTACAGTTCTTATCTCCATAACCGCGTTCATACCAATTTCTTCCAGTTTCCTTTCCGTAAAAGTTGCACATTTTCCTGTTCTACCGTGTAACCTGATACAAAATGATCATTTATTTTTTTTGAGGGGGGTATTTATCACAGAATCTGCGTGTTACAAAAGCTGTTTCTTCCAAATGATTCTGTAAGCTACGAAACAAATTGTAGTCTGAAGGAGCAAGATCGGGAGAATAAGATGGATGAGGAATTTTCTTCCAACCAAGTTCTTTGAGCTTTTGTGACGTGATTCTTGCTGTGTGGGGTCGCGCATTGTCCTGATGAATCATCACCTCTTTTCGATTCACTAGAGAAAGTCTTTTTTTCAAAGCTTGGTTCAAACGCTCTAATTGCTGACAGTATATTTGATCATTAATTGTTGCATTAGGTGGTAACAATTCAAAGTGGATTATTCCTTGACCGTCCCACCAGATTGAAAGAGGAACCTTTTGCCCATGAAGTTCCCTTCTTGTCTGTGGCTGGGGCCCTTCCCTTTTACCAAGCCACTGTCTACGACGCTTAACATTTCGATAAAAGATTCATTTTTCGTCGCCAGTCACAAGTTTATCCAAAAAAGATGAAACAAGTTGGCGAGAATGGAGAGAAGAGCAGATGTCAACTCGGGATTTGAGGTTGTTTTCAGACAATTCATGAGACACCCATTTTCTAAGTTTAGGAACTTTTCCAAGTTGACGATGAACAGTTGTATGATTTGAACTGAGAACCACTGCCAATCCCTTAACTGATAAAGCAGGATTTTCTTCAAGGTCTGCTTCAAGAAGCTTTTCATTAAACTCAACAGGACGTCCGGTTCGATCTTCATCTTCAAGGGTGAAATCTCCAACTCTGAATTTTGCAAACCATCTTCTGCAAGTTCTTTCATTCACACATTCCTCTCCATAGACTGAGTGAATATTTCTAGCCGCTTCGGCTGCTGAGTTTCCTTTCTTGAACTCATAAAGCATTATGTGCCTCAAATGATTCTTGGGTACTTCCATGTTAGCAGAGTTTTAATCAAACAAAATTTAATTTTATTGTTCTCTGAAATATAATTTGATCAGTTTAAATGCATCTAAACATAAAAATAATGTTCAGCTCCATTAGACATTATAAAATACTCTTTAAATTTCGTTCATTTTAAAAAAAGTTAACATTCAGACAGAACTTATGGGATGACGTGATATATAAAACTCGTAACGATAGAATGGGGCAATATTTCCACTGGACAATGGGCAGTTTGAAAAAGATGATAACAAATACTGGTATGGATATCACCCAGCACCGTGTACAGAAATAGAAGACATCATAATTCTATGGGATTACACCATATTTACAATAGGGAGATTGGATCAAATAGATCGGAAATAACTGTCAAAATCCAAAAAGAATAAAAAAAGACTTGCCTAAGAAATGATATGCCATGCCCAGCGGATTGTAATATAACAACCAAAGGATTTAAAAAAATTATCGATGCAAAAGATCTGGAAGTCGAAATAGAAAAAAATGTGGAAATTGAAAATGAGAATAGTACGAGGCATAGTAGGTGCGCTTGGAATGATATAAAAAGAAACACAACAACATATTGAAAAACCAAGACAAAAACAAAAAAACACTGGAAATACCAGTTTTAGAGAAATACAAAAAATGTCTTGAAAAGTACATCCCACACACTTCGAAGAACTTTGTTCATGTAACGCTAGTGATTTTATGGGAGTTATGAAAATAAATCATGTAATGTAGCCATAGCAACACACGATGACCTGCCTTAGGTCTTCTCGCAGACTTGGTAGGTAGTGAGAGCATAGCAGAAATCGAAATATAATGATGATTATGATGATAATAATAGGGTTAGGGTTAAGGTTATGGCAGGATTAGGGTTAGAGCAAGGTTAGGATTAGGGTTAATGTTAGGTCAGGGTTAGGCTTAGGCTTAGGGCAGAGTTAGGCTTATGGTTAGGGTTAGGGTTAGGATTAGAGTATATTTTTAAATGCCATGTCCCTTCGGATCATGGTATTTCAGGTCTCATTTTAATATTTGTGAATTATCACAATTTGTTGTGAAATATAGTAGAATGGATTCCTGAAGTTCTCTCCTCGGTTTGAATTTGGAAATTTTCTTCTTCTCACAGAGAGACATTTGAAATTCTTGGGACGTGTGTCTGTGTGTGTGTGTGAGTCAGTGTGTGTGAGTCAGTGTGTGTGTGTGTGTGTGCGTGTGAACATGTGCGCGTGAGTATGTATATGTCTTCGTAGGTAGATGTGTGTGTATCTGTAGGTAGATGTATACGTGCGTCTGTGTGTTTGCGTCTGTGTGTGTATCCGTGTGTGTGTGTGTGTGTGTGTGTGTGTGTGTACGTGTGCGCGTGCACGTCTGAGTGCATTTGCGTGTATGTTTCTGTACGTGAATGCGTGTGTGTGAGAGTATGCGCGCGTGTGCGTGCATGTATGCGTGAGTGCTCGTGTGCGTATGTGTGTCAATGTGCGTTTTTTTTTGTGTGTGTGTGTGCGTGTGTGTGTCTTTGTGTGCAAATGAAGATATGTATGAACAAATTCGAAATCCATAATAGCTGAATATATAATGTTATTTTCTAATTCAACGTACCTTTAACCGGGAAGCACGGGTGAGGCGAATTAAAGCAGGAATTCGACACGAGCGTTCGCCTTGGTTCCGTTCCCGCAATGTCTTTGCCACTGACAGACGCACACCGGATGAAAATGTGCTGGAGCAGAGGGGAAGAATTCCCACTGGCAGACAAGTAAACCTACTCTCTGCCTGATTTCGCTTCTCTAAATCGCTCTCGGCTCAAAGAAAACAGGAGAAAAGAATTTCGAGCAAGTTCTCGTGACAGATACGTAATAAGTAAAGATTCCTTGTGGTGTAGATCTTCGCCACTGATCGTGTACTCACAATTAACTCAAACGTGCCAAAGTGTATGGCATGACTGACCTTTTATTTTTAGTTATATCGGATTAATAGCATAGTACCCGTCAAAAATGGCTGAATGATTGAAGTTTGCATTGGTATATCGGCGTCGGCTCTGTTGTATCTGTGCGTTCTATTTGACATCAAACTGTCACCTCCAGGAACTTCTGTTAAGGATCATACTAGTCTCTGTGAAAGGTGACACATATACACACAATATAGCCATGAAGTGCTTAACCCTCTATTTCCACACGGAAACAGAATTAGAAAAAAGCTAGTGAGTGTGGAAGCACGGAAGGAATTTTCAAAGGAAGCAAGGTACGGTGTAAGTAAAACGAAAAGAAAGTGGATGAAAGTAAAGGGACGAAAGATATATCTTATATATATATATATATATATATATATATATATATATATATATATATACACACAATTATACTTCGACATGAAAACAATAGACAACAACTAAAAATCCTTGAGGCATTATACATCAAACAGTTGAAACCCAACCTAAACAAAATCAACTATGGAATCTGTGCAATCTATCCTTAAATGTCTATAATTGGTAACAGAAGCCATTGGTTTATACCAACGGTATCCCATACTTCATACTTCTCCAATTCACTCTCGCGTGGTCAGGTGTGACGTCATGAGATGCGGTGCGATTTTTGCTTCTAGCGTCTTATATGCACGTGTTTATCGTTGCTAGGACATCATCTATGTAAACAATCACAGACTATCATCACTGTCTTGTCCGTATATTGCTTAATATGTTATACAGTAATTGACATCTTTGATAATGGCTTATGTAAGCCGAAAGCTTAGATTGGATTACAAAATATGGATCAATGTTGTCATTTTCTTTCTTCGTTTCATGATAATGTTATTAAGCTTATCAGACGTTATGAAAAGAATTTACATAAAATAAATAGACAACACTTGTCTATATTATTTAATGAAACGTGTATGAATGAAAAGATCCTGCCTAAATACACACAATATATATATATATATATATATATATATATATATATATATATATATAAAATTCATTGAGTCTAGAAGAAATCTCAACAGAATGCACAAAGCACAAGGCGGCCGTTTCGTCCTACATTTGGGACTCATCAGCAGTCCGTATCCAATACCGAGAATTGAAACCCAGACAGTTACGTTATCAGGCAAACTTCATACCATCGGTCCCCGGTGACGAAGAGGTAGCCAATCAAACTTGATATAGCGCCGCTTGATCACAATGTCCCGTAGTGGAATTCATCCGAATTTACCTTACTCATAGGACTCTGCACCCACGAGCCATGACTACTACCCTCAAGTATATATAGTGGACTTTCACGTCGCGGACGACAAATGAGGTCACAGTAAAATAAAATGTGCTGAACTTTTAATGACGGTAGAGTAATGGATAGCGGCTCGGATTGTGGAATCAGAGAGCCGAGTTCGAATTCCAGTCGAATCCCTTACATTCACTTACGTGCTAATACAAAGAGAAAGGTATGAATCATCTTTTACCTCCAACTATGGGTAAATATCTATAGTCATGGATGACAACTGATCTACCGCAGAAAGAAATGGCAACGTACTGCGGGGAAAAAAATCTGCCTCAAACTTGTATCACGCATGATACATAACTGATTGATGTGTTTACAAAGATCTGCAGGTGTTTTGCAATCGTTTAGACAGATGGAATATGTGATTGAGCAATTTTGCTAGAGTGGTTGAGGATCAATTGCCACACGCTTCCTCCGCGAGTGAACAGCAAGGCCTGTTTGACTGCATGTGGCCGGTAAGGCTATCACTGAGAGGAGCAGTATGCTGACAACATTCTTTAATATTTTCAACCAGTCGATCCCGATGATCAAATCGGCCTCGCTCAAATCTTTTACAGATGAGAAGCAGGACATGGGGCTTCTGGCGCCTTTGTTCCCCCCACCTAGATGAACAGGATGCATGAGTACGTTGGTGAAGCTGACATGAAAATGTGAAACTTAATTTTTACAGATGAGTGGAGGTTTCTTACCATACTTTGACCATACGATCAAGAGAGCGGATGTAAGCCCTGGTTTCAGCGGACAGCAGCTACTAAGGGGTCATTCCAGAAGCATTATACTTGTATCGTACATGCAAACAAAAGGAAAATATAGCCAATGGATGTCGTGGCTGTTTGGAGAGTATTATTTCATGTTAGTGCGCAATTAGCGAAAATAGAATAAAATAGTTTAAATATGACCTACTGGTGCGTTATCAGCACGTAAATATATGAGAGTTGAAAACGCCATCCATAGATTTAATATTTACTATCATTTTTTTTTTTTAAATATTAAAAAAATATTAACTTAACCATTGCAAAGAAATTTGAAGCAAATAATTAATCACAAAAAAGAATAATGTCGATGCTTTCGCATGCCATTTCGGAGATTGTATTTTTAATACCAATAATCATGAACATCATTACGTTTACACATTGTTTACATGAACACAACACTACCTCATGGGTTAACTTGTCACTTATCGAAAATGAATGCAATTTGTTTGTTTTAGATTGTTTGTTTTTATCTAATTGTACATCACCTCTTTATAGGTCTTTTAATGCTGAAATTTCATTTTCTTGGAGCTTTAGTAATTTCTTTTACTAAAATGTATTGTTGGTACCTTTTCTTTTTTTTTTCTTACAAAAATGTATTGCTGGAAATTTTTTATAAAAACTTATTGCTGGTATTTTTTTCTATCAAAATATATTGCTCGCACGTTCGCTATAAAAAAAATGTATTTCTACAATTTCATAGTGTTTTGGCCCCAGGTTGGGGGTTCGCAATTTCTACACATGTTGATCATCACATCAAAATCAATCATAATATCATTTCCATAAGACAAATATTAATAAATAAAATAAACGTACCATATGTCACTCCAAGGAAAGACGCAAAAAAATGCAGTCTCTTATGATATAAACGAAGCAAGAAGAAATGAGTATCTTTCACTATATACAGTAACATTTTAAATGTCTATAAAATATTTCCAATGAATCAAAAATATTCTGGTACTATCAAACTCTGTGGTGCACATAAACAAAATGAAGGACACATTTTTTATTAAGTTTTTGTGAGTGCGAAGTCCGTTTGAGGGAATAAACACAGTTTACCGAGGCGTCTACTCAAATACGTGTATCCATTAAAAATAACATTTGACGTAATAAAAATATGTCAGAATAAACACATAAATCCTTTAGTTCTTTAGAAATTGCATTGTTTATGATACGAAACTGAACAGATATTGCGTTCGAGTAAATCTCGAAGAATGAAAGCGCTTTAAGTCAAATAGAACCTTGCTTGACTGTTATATCCTCCATAGCTTAGCGGTCAAAGCACACAAGATGAGACGGGGATTTTTCAACAAAGGGGAGAGCAGGCCCGAATCCTACCGGAGGGCATATTTGATTTGTAAACTTTTTTTTTTTCGAGTGAGCGATCCGATAGACAAATAAATACTAATTAAAAAAATCGGAGCGTCTCTTACGATACGGTTATCCACTAGCAACGGCGCGAATAGAAACATAAAAAAAAAAATATTTTTTTTTATAAAAATCAAATGAACGAAAATTACAAACAAGATGAAATTAGAATTAAGAATATTAAAATATGCACACCAGTTGACAATAGCAAAAAAATTAGACTAATCATTTATTACAAAAAAATTAAAACCTCTAAACTTATAGGTAAAAATAATAACTTACCTCTTAGAACAAAATGAAATATAGCAAATATTATTTACAAATTCAAATGTCCATTAAGGAATTGTATTCCTGATCAATCAAAATTCGTAAACAATTATATAGGCCAAGATGTTTGACACGAAAACTCATACAACACCTTTCTGACCATAGATCAATTGGGTACTCTTGGAGGCCTACTTCACTTTATTCTTAACATACTTATTGACAAGACAAATATAATAGCATCGTCTACTTAAAAAAAAAGGTTAAAAGTAATCGAAGCCTAAATAATAAAACCCCCCAAAATACTCAATAATGTCAACTATGAACATGGACACAATATCTTGACCGTCTTTTGAAAATAAAACATTATATAGATACATATATACAACAATCTATTTCTTGTTAACAGTTAATATATTTCAACTCTGAAAACGACTAAATGTATAGCCGAAAGCGCTCGAATAAAAAAGAACAATTGAACAAGTTTATATAATTTATCCTCCGAAAAAAAAAAATTGTAAGATCACATGAGAAATTGTATAGAAAATTAAATCAAAGCGCCTTGTGTATTGTATTCAATGGAATATATATATATATATATATATATATATATATATATATATATATATATATATATATATATATATATATATATATATATAAAAGAGCCAAAAATGTGTACACGCTTCAGGAAAGGAAAAAGATATTATAATACTAAATTTATTCAAGCATCACGAGATTTATACAAGTTAACTTAGGACTCTACAATCACAAGAGATACTCAAAATGGTGGCCTTTTGCTTCTATACATTTATAAGTACGGAGAACTACTCGGTGGCCAACGTGGGCCAAAGTGTCCAGTGGGATTGCTGCACATGCATTTTAAATTTCTTGTCTAAGTGTCGCCAATATAATGTCACCTGTCGAAAAAAAAAACGTACGAGAGTATAGGGTGATATAGCAATTTGATAAAACTAAAAAAAGTTTTTTATATATATGTCATTCGTTCTTTTCTCTTTCCACACACAGTCATATATATATATATATATATATATATATATATATATATATATATATATATATATATATATATGTGTGTGTGTGTGTGGTGTATATATATATATATATATATATACAGAAACGGGAGAAAATCGACAGACGCCAACAAACGGATACAAAACATAAAATGTTAACAATGTATATTCAGGTGGTTTATTATATTTTTATGTGCATAGAGGAATGTGTTGTATATATATATATCTGTCTCTATATACTTTTGAACATCTACAGATAGATAGATAGATAGATAGATAGATAGATAGATAGATAGATATTGAAATGTATTATTTCCGTCTAAATGTATCACTGTCTTTAGACCCGTCATTATATTGAACTGACACGATACAAATCCCATGGTTCAGTTCCGATCCCAGATGGCACATCGGCGATCAATCTTTTGAATATTTGATGTAAGTGTTTGGAGGCGTCCACTTCAGTCGACTTTGACTGAGTGAACGAAGAAAGAAACTTACTAGAATGGGAATGTCACTCAGACTGAAGTATGAAACACAGCCGTATCTAAAGGAATCGGCATTCTACTCTAAATGTGAATATTATCGAAAATCACGAATCTCACCTTTTTATCTACCCATCGATATCAACCTATGGATATAAGTATCTATCTCTATATCTAGATATCTGTGTTACTTTTCTATTTCTCCCTCCTCTCTGTCTCAATATATATATATATATATATATATATATATATATATATATATATATATATATATATATATATATAATATATATTTTTTTCATACGTAACTATTAACTGAAACAAAAAAAAAGTTAATGAAAATGAACACGTAACCACCCCTTGACTGTATGAGTGGATTTCTCTGTATCCTTGGAAACGCGATTTATGAATGTTGACGTGCCTTTAAAACTCAGTAAATTTCAAAATAAGTTACTGCAAAATTCGCTTGAGGATGGAATGGAACTACTCAGATGCCACAGACTGTTCCGTGCTAAACGCAATCATCGGGTCAACTGTTACTGTGCCGCTGATTATAATGACGAATTTGTTTCATAATAATAGTGTTCATTTGGTTCACCATTTTCGAGTTCTTGAGGTTGCTTATATTATGTTTCGTCAGCCGAGCCGATGTAAACAAAAGGGACACTTTATTCGTCCCTTAAGTTTGATTTGAGGAATTATAAGCAACATTTTCCAATGTAAACTCTTTTTGGAACTTGGCACTTTGTTTTTAGTTATTAATTTACTAATAATTAAAATGAAATTTAATCGTCTTCCACTTCTCTCGCTTCATTCTTTATTTACTAATATGTCGTTAACTGATTCCTGCTTCTAGCTAACTTTCACCTTTTGATAAAATGTTGGCTGAAAGGGTCTCCCTCAAGGTAAAATAATGACGGCCATTCTATTTATACACACAGACATATATATATATATATATATATATATATATATATATATATATATATATATATATATATATATATATATATATATATATATATATATATATATATACACACACAACAAACACACACACACACACGGTGGTTAATGGATAGCAACTTAGATTGAGGAATCGAGAGCCGAGTTCGAATTCCAGTCGAAACCATTACATTAACTTACGTGGTAATACCCTTGGGAAAGGTGTGAATTGTCTTCTTCTCCCTCCAGCTATGGGTGAAATAGCAGGATGTCAACTGGTCTAGGAGAAGGACAAGTCTGAATTCAAAACCTGCGGAGGGATGTTTGGGGACCCTATGTCAGCTCTCTGCATTCGGCCCTTTGAAACCTTCACCACTATAATTAAATCTCACGTGCTGTTGTCGGGCTGTCGGTTTCTGATCTGCGTGACCCTCATATGTCGAATTGATGTATATATATATATATATATATATATATATATATATATATATATATATATATATATGTTTAAAAGTGAACACTGAGCTCAACACAGAGAGTCTATTTCATGCTTGAACGCAGTTTTAATTGAAGATTACGTTCAAGTATGTAACAAGATGACGGCGCTCGATCTTGAGCACAGTGCTCACTTGTATATTTATATTTACATTCGCTCAATACCTGATAGAGACCATAACTAAAAACTATATTTCTATCATATATGGATATATGACATATATATATATATATATATATATATATATATATATATATATATATCGGCATTTTATCATAAATAAAGTCTACAATGAAGGTATATCTTTGATATATATATATATATATATATATATATATATATATATATATATATATAAGTACAGGATTGGTTTATACGCAATAAATTCCAATAATCAAAATATACTATTCTTAAAAGAGTGCTCAACACAGAGTAAACCAAATATAATTATTTATTCGAAAATTATAGCATTTATAAAATCACTACAAAAATAGCCATTTTGTTTCAACACTTCCGGTGCCTTATGAAGTAATGGTGTTGGATGTAGAATAAAGGGTTTTAAATTCAAATCAATCAAACACCCCTTGCTAGGGGAAACGCTGTTAGATTAGCTGCAATGACCAATTAAGTACAAGTTTATGAGAATTCAGAAATCTTGCCAACGAACCTTTGGTTATAACAATTAATGCTTTAATGTTAGGGTTAAACTAAAATAGAATTCATTCTAACTAATTAATATTATATCTTACTATATAATTCAAAATTCAAATTTACCAATTTTAAATTTAATCAGTATTAAGTTTAAAAAAATTTAAGTTATTTAAAGAAGAAACTGATGAAAAATACATATGTTTTGTTATTTAGTTTGTTTTTATTGAAAGGCCAAAAATTCTGTTACAATCTCTATCTATAAAAGGCAGGATGTGTGTGTGTGTGTGTGTGTGTGTGTGTGTGTGTGTGTGTGTGTGTGTGTGTGTGTGTGTGTGTGTGTGTGTAACGAATGCATGCACGGTGGCAATTTTCGACGGATTTGCACCAAAGTTTACATGCACATGCTCCAAGTTAGCGGGAAGGCCAAGTCCGACTTTGCATTTTCCAACTCCCATCGATAGTGGAAATAATCGATTTTTTCATGCTTCTACGGCAGTTTTCATGTAGTTTGCGGCCATTTTCTACTGACCAGAGTGAGACTCTATAGCTAGCTGCCACAAATAAGCAGGAAGATTCTATTGGCCAGCGTGAGAGCCAACAGCTGACTGACACGAATGTTAACTAGCATGCTAGCATGTAAAAAAAATCGATAGCTGCATTCGTCACAAGTGGTAAAAATTTAAATCTGCATGGCACTTTACTCCAATTGGCTCATTCGGTTGCTTAAACTCAACGTTGATTCTGATTCCGCAGAAGTGGGTTGAGTGTGAAAAATTATTTGTTGTTAACATTCTTTTTTCATTCGGTTTTTCCAGTTACGATTCCGTTTTTAAAGCTGATCGTTTTGTGTTCATTTTGTTTAGTTCTTTTTTCGTAACAGATTTAATGTTTAGTATAGAGTTTAGAAAAAAATCGCAGTGTTAGATAGGCAAGAAGTAAGGCATGTAGCAACATCAGCACGGAAAAGGGCACTCCTTTAAAGGCAAGGAAGGGCAAAATATTTTAAGTCATGTGATAGCGATTGCCATATGAGTCGTACGATTTTTGAAACAAGCACGGGCAACGCCGGGCCATGCTGCTAGTACACGTTAAAATCTAATGTTGTTCTGAGCTTCGTTACAGTTTCATACTATGAATACATTCAAAGAACGTTGGCGGGAACGTGCAATCTTTCAATAGTAGTAATTATGAGTACAAGACTTTATTATCCAATTGTTTTTGGAGTTTTAAGGAGAAAAAACAACACACCTACGGTTAAAAGGAAAGTAATCGAGAGAGCCGGAACATGTAATTCAATATATGCCCCTTGTTAATTATGTCTTAACGAAAATTTGATATCACTGGATTTAAAGACAAAACCCATCTCTTAAGTCAAAGAAATGAATTCACACCTAACTGCAAACATAGATATAAATTTAGCTTACTATAGGGTTAGTAATATTTTTTGACGTTTCCTCTAGCTGGTGTTGTTTGATTGATTTGAAACTTATAAAACACTTTGTTTTACATTCAGCACCTTCACCTGAGAAGACACCAGAAGTGTTGAAACAAAATGGCTATTTTTTTAGTGATTCGGTATCTAGACACCCCCCCACGAGGGTTGCATGTGACACAAGGTCGTTTTTATAGTGGGTTTCCTGAGCCCGTAGGCTCAGCCAAAAAATGCCCGTAAAGCCCGTATAAACGAGATCGGGTAGGTCATTCACCCCGAACGAGATTCTGCCCTTCGGCGGAACCTCGTCCGGGTTCCTTTCTGCTCAAAAGCAGAGAGTTCGACCGTCAAGCCGAAAAGATCGGCTTGATTCTATTTTTTTAGTGATTCTATGACATATTTATGTTATAATTTTCGAATATATTATATATATATATATATATATATATATATATATATATATATACAAGGTTTCAAAAATTTGATATCATTTCGCAATCTAATAACTTTGTTAGATCTCCTTCAAATGACTTCAAATTTTAATAGCATCTTTATGTTTAATGTTTGTTTTATGTTTTTATGTCTTTATGTTTTTTGCGTTTTTCTTATTTGCATTTTTATGTTCTTTAATCTTTAATCTTTTTCTTTACAGGTATTAAAATGCTATTTACTAGAAGAGAAAAGGCGTTTTGTGTTCACATAATCCACATGCTTTTGAATTTCTCATTCAGATTTGGAAGAATAAATCTTATGATCTTCAACATTAATACTTTTTAATTTCATTTGCCTTAATCATGTACTTTTTGTGATATTTACATCTCAAAGGATATCAAATCTTTTGAAACACCCTATATATATATATATATATATATATATATATATATATATATATATTATATATTATCCTCTATGCATAACATTTCAACATATATGCATTACGTTATCATATATATATATATATATATATATATATATATATATATATATATATATATATAAATCAATGATAATATGGGACTGATTTTGCGTGTGACGTGTTTAGTCTTTTAGGACTTCATTTGGCTCTACCTTTACAAGACCCAAATAAGGAAAAAATGGAGTACGGTTGGTATATCTGGGAAGGAGCTGCCAAAAGCCCACTCTCCGGGCTTGATATGACAAAGCGACTCTAAGTCTTTGTGAGTGACTAATTATTTTCCCCACCTCTTAAACCCCTCTTACACAGGTGATGGATGGCATGACTATCTCTGCTCTGCCGTTACATCCATAGAAGGTGTGCTTGTATGATCTTCATTTCCCGGTCTCGCCAACGCAAACCTAGCGAGAACA